AGAGACCAGTAGTGAGTCTCCAATATATCACCATTCTTGGAGGAAACCAAAAAGTGACTTGGGGGCAAGTTGATTACATTGAGCCTATTCAAAACTGTATGAGGCAATGATTCATCTTGGCTGTAATCAAAACAATTTCTGAATATGGGTTTGCCTTTCTTTCCTGAAAGGCCTCAGGCAGCACTACTATTAGTGAATATAGACCATTGATCTACTGAGACACAATTTTATCTAAAACACAGGATTGGACCCAGAGATCCACTTTCTGGCCAAAGGAGTCCAACATTGAGGACATCCTTGGGATTCTATTATATACTGCACCATTGAAAAGGTGCTGGTCAGACAGAGTGATGAAATGGTGTGTTGAAGGCATAGCTGAAGTGCCAGTTTGGAGATGATACCAGGAAATGATGGGCTATCACCCATGATAAAGCATTATATATCCTAAATCAATCAATGTTACATGGAAGAATAAATGAGTTTGGGAATAGGAGTAGGAGTTGTTTTGTTTGTCATTACTTCCAGTGACCCACTTGGGGAATTTGTGCTTCCCATACTCATAATTCTGTGTTCTGCAAGTTTGGAACTCTTGACTCTAAGATTGCAAATGCCTTCACTAGGAGACACACAGGAACCCATTAAAATTCAATCTGTGGTTGCCACCTGGTTACCTTTAACACCAGCCAAAAGAAAACAAGCTGCCTGGTCACTTTTGGCACCATGCAAAAGAGAACAAGTCAGCATCAGGATAGGGGAAATTGACTCTAATCATTAGGAGAGAGGTATTGGTATACAATGGGGTTGGGCAAGAATAGGTTTGGTGTCTAAGTGACCCACTTATTTATCCCTTGGAAATGATAAGTCTTCCAGCCATGGCTTGAGAAAGGCATGATGTCCAGAGTCTCAGAGCCTTCAAGGATGAAGTTTTTAGTCACAGAACCAGATAAGATACTGAGATCAGCAGAGATACTAGCTGAAAATAAGAATAAATCTAGAATGAGCAGTGCAGGACAGGGATGATGAATCAGTTAAGGCCCTAAAACCAGTTTCAGGGGCAGGTATTACAGGGTCTTTCACTGATATTGTAAGTTTTCCTCAGGAAAAGAAGCTCAATGTAACCATCAGATAACTGCTGCAGAATTTATCTACATGAAGCAAATGAGCCTGAGCAAGGTGAGGCATGAACTGCATTAGGTGCTGCCAACACTTCCTACAACCCCGCTCCATCGGCACAGAAGCTCTTATTTCTCCAGCTGTTGAGATTGTTTGAGGCTGACATGCTTCAAGGGAGTCCTTCTCCAGACATGCTTGAGTTCATGTCCTTCCAAGTTTATGCTCATATACAACAACTGATTGGTCAGTGAAAAAGTATGAAGGCCCAGCCCCATTGTGCTGATATGCAACAATTTGGAAGGCCCATCTCAACTCCAGAGCTTCTCGTGTGTTCAGCTGAGGCCCTTATTATTGTAGGCCGATTTCTTCTCTGCCAAGCCTTGCTCCCTTCACTCCCCCCAATGGGCATTGATCTTAAAACCACTCCCTAAGACAAACCACAGGAGACTCTTAATCATAGGAAACAAACTGAGGGTTACTGGAAGGGAGGGGGTGAGGGAATGGGGTAACTGGTGATGAACATTGGGTAGGGTATGTGTTGTAATGAGCACAGGGTATTATATAAAACTGATAGAGCAGAGGACCACAGGGGAAGGGACGGAATATTGAATGGGAAGGGATCAGAGAGGGAGACAAACCATGAGAGACTCTGGACTCCAGGAAAAAAAAAAAACCTGATGGTTTCAGAGGGAAGGTGAGTGGGGAATGGGGCGACTGGGGATGGGGTGACTAGGTAAGGGGTATTAAGAAGGGCAACATGATGTGATGAGCACTGGGTGTTATAGGCAACTAATGAATTACTGAGCACTACAACAAAAACTTATGATGTACTGTATGTTGGTTAATTGAACATAATTAAAAAAAGAGAAAAAAGAAAAAAAAGACTGCTGAATCACAGACTTATACCCCTGAAACAAATAAAATAATACATTATATGTTAATTTTTAAAAAATTTTTAAAAACAAACAAATAAAAAAAAATTCTCTAATCAACCTCCCGTGTGTTAATCTCAGTCTTAGAGACTGTGTCCCAGAAGAACTAACAAGTAACTGTGTTTTTTGCTTTTGTTTTAGTTATTGCTATTTCTTAGTATGAGAAGATTTTTCAATATTTTCCTTTATAGTTTCTGGTGTTTTATGTTGTATTTGGAAAGGTCTTTTCTATCCCAAGATTATAAGCATACTCACAAATATTGTCTTATGGTTTCCCTCGAAAGTTTTTGAATTTTTTATTTATCTATGATTTTGACATAAACAGTTAGAGACTCAGTTTTGTTTTTTGAATGATTCTCCTTACACTATTTATTTTTAAAATTCCTCTTTTCCTAAATCTTTTCTGAGTGTGTTTTTATCCTCTTCAATTTCTAAGTTTCAAGACTTAACTAATTTTTATACACTGTGTTCAGTACTGGAAATGCTTAAATTATGAATTTTTCTGAGTGCAGTGTTGGTTACATCCCACGTGTTTTAGTATGTAAATTTTTTTCCATTAGTTTTATTTTTTTGATATTATGCACCAAATTTCAAATTGCTTTTCAAAGAACTATTTGTATGAGCTTTTTAAAATTTATAAATGGAATTTCATTATCTCTTAGCTCTATTGTAGTGTGATTAAAGAATCCGTTTTGCATTATTTCTATTTCAAAAATATAACCTGACTACTTTTTCTTTTTCTGAATCTTTCTAATTAAGTGAAAGTGAGGAACTATTTTCCTTGTTCTAAATTGTTACTTGTACTTTGACATGGGTTAGGGCATCAAAAAATTCACAGTAAAAGCATGTGGATTTCTTACAGGGAAAGTGTTTGAGCGTCAATTCAAGAAATTTAAAGCAAAACATTGACTGTTCACATGTCATTTTTGTCTCCTACTTGGTTCTTGTTATTGTTTCTGAGTTCCCTTAAAGTTGGATGTGTCATGGGATGCCAGGGCTAGTACTCCCCAGTACACCTTTAGAGATTTTTCATTTGAAAAGTGGGTTGACCAAGCTCTCCAGACTTAAAGCCAAAACAAGTTATTAGAATTCCTGGGGTCTGGTTCCACTCCGCTATCTGCTTTATGGCAGTAGATATTCCTCTCTGGGCCTCAGCATCTCTATCTTTACGTGACGGCAGTGGGGGAGGAGTGTTCAGAGCCTGATAATCTCCAGGAAACTTCTAGCTTTCTGACTAGGTGAGGTAAGAATGACGGGCAAAACAAAAATGACATGGTGGGGGGGGGCAGGAACATAGGAGCAAGTTAGAGAATCAGTAAAAGCGGGACACCCACTTGGTCACTCTCTTCCCTTCAGTTTTCCACTGACAGAGGGTACAAGCTTGGTAGGTCTGGAAGTCATGGATGGGAGAGGGGAACAGACATAATTGGGTCATTGATTTAAGATTTAAATCCTCAACTGAGAACAAACTTGAATGTCCAAGAAACCAGCCATACCTTTCATGTTTTGCTGATATATTTATTGATACATTCCCCCTTCTCAGTTGATGGTGACAAAAAGCAGATGTATCTCCCTACCCTACCCACCCACCCCCCACAAGTAAAATACAGACACAGATTTCATTCAGCATATACAAGCATTGGGGCGTGTCCAAATTCACCACACTGGGTTGCCAGAGCCAGGAGAGGTTCGGTCTTGGGGACCCAGGAATTGAGCAGGCCAGGGGTGAAGAGAGGCTGCCACTCTGGGCCTTGCCAATGGCAGAGGCTATAGAATCAAATCACGGTGAGCAGAGCTGCCTAGCCCTGTCATGTGGTCTAGAAGGTGACAGTGGGATCCTGAGTAGTTTCCAGTGAGATTCACAGTCCCATAGAAATCTGTGCCTCAGGGTTTCATCCGCAAAATGGGAATAAGAATCCTGCCCTGAATATATCACAGGGCTATGATGAGGTTCAAAATAGAAATAATTTGTCAAAAGTGTTTTGCAGAAGGTAAAGTGCTATACAAATTTAAGGGAATTCAATTCATTGATTGCGATTGTGAGTGCCCCAGGATAAGAGCCGACTGGCTCATGGGTCCAGGGGCCAAGGAAGTGGCAAAACTCTTATTTTGTGCCTTTAGAGGGTAGCAATCTGTGCCAGTAATGTCCACTGCAAAGCAAAGTCCTCTTAGTTTCTTGGCCCCAAGAAGTCAGCATGGCCTAGCACCTGGGTCGGGGCTGGGAAAGCCACTGGGGAAGTTACAGAAAACGTCACAGGAGTCAAGGAGGAGGAAGAAGGTGGCATAGAAAGCAGGGAGTCATCACTACTATCACAGAGAAAAATAGATACCCAATGGATGCAAGGCATTGAATTTGTAGTGCCGATGAAGGCTGGAGGTGGGGGTGGCGGGGGAAGAAGGAGGTGGCACAGCGGCAGAGGGAGATACTGTCCCAAAGAAGCTCAATTGCTGGCTCCCTTCCTCATGAAAGTATTATACTGGCGTCTCCGTGCAGGGGGAGGGAGGGCAGGAAGAAAAAACCAAGAATACGATAGTGTGATCTAAGGACGAGGGTCCCCTTCCCCTTTACACTGCTGCCCAACATTTGAAGGAGGTGTCAGAAACAGGCAAGTAGCTGGTCTATGCACTTTGAGGGTGAGGCCAGAGCTGGGCCTGGAGCACCACAAAGGCAGTATTATTTCTGGAAAAAGGCAATGGGTATCAGCACTGGGAGATAGCTAACCTATTCATACATGGGCACCGTCTTGGGGAGCTAGTCACTGACAGCCTGTGATATGAAGTCTGAGCATCGTTAATGCCTCTTGAGTAATAGAGAGGAGGCCGCTCTACTTGCAGTGGACTGCCATGGGGAGTCCGTGAACGGGCCAGGTAAGGGAGAGGGCCAGCAAAGAGCAATTCTATGCAGCCTTATATTTGGGGAGTGGGGAAGGAGAGACACTCCCGTGTTGCTCCTGCTGCTGCTGCTGCTTTCCTCTGGCTCCCTTGCAAGGGGCTGTGGGACCTCCTGGGGAACTGGGGAGGCTGTGCACACGGTACCAGCTGGCACCTACAAGTTAAGGCAAACGAGCCAGTAGAGCGCATTGAAGAAGAAGAAGGTCACTGGGAAAACGAGTCGTGAATAGTTATCCAGGCGGTAGACGTGGATGAAGAGGCGACCGTGCTGCCAGACGCCGCCCTCACAGCTGCGGACCGCGCACAGGTACTTCTTGCACCACTTGAAGCAACCATTACCAGCTTTCTGGATGGCACGTCGTCTGAAAGACTGCTGGGCTGGGCAAAATGGGCCCTCCTCTCCATCACTCTCCTCCGAGTCCTCGACCCGGCACACAAAAGCTTCTGGATGCTGCTGGCCATGGGCACGGGGAGGACTAAGGGCACGAGCACGAATATGTGGCTGAAACGGACAAGGGAAGAAGTGGGAAAGAGTCAAACAAAGATGAATCAAGTCTAGGTGCTGCCCCAGGGTTTCTGGAGGTTCTGTCCCTGGCACACTGCTTTTTGTTACAGTGCCCCCCGCGTCCCAGCATGACATCAAAAAGTTTATTCAACCTCAGGTTCTGCACCCCCATCACTTGGTGAACTGGCCGTCCACGTGCCATGAGTTCTAGTGCCCTCACGTGCATGCCTCCACACTCCAAATCTTACCACCACTCCCATACCCAGGTCATACATGGCGAAGTTTTGGAGAAGCACGGGGTTTCGTCCAGTTGTAGGTCAGAAAGTTGAGCACAGCAAACTCCATCAGAGCACAGAAGCAAAAGACGAAGCAGATGGCAATATAGAAATCCAAGGCTGTGATATAGGAGACACGTGGGAAATTCTTACGGGAAAAGGTGCCCAGTGTGGTCATGGTGAGTACAGAGGTTATTCCTGTGAAAGCACAGCAGTGAAGGTGGGCTCAGCTACCGATCCATATATTACACTACTGAAAGGACCCTTGAGAAGGCAATTCTGTGCCCATGTGTATGCATTACCCACTTACCTAAAGAGGTTCTGGCTGGAGCAGAGTCTTTCTTGATCCAAAAGGAAACCCAGGAAAGCATTGTGGTCACAGAAGAAGGGACGTAGTTTTGAAAGGCTACAAAGCCAAACCGCCTGCTCACATTAAAGAAAAGCGTCGTGACCATGAAATCACCTGGAAGACATAAAAAAATACCACTTCATTACAGTACTGACATGTGGTCTCCCCCGGAGAGGACAAGCACATTAAAGTTCTTATTCAGCTCATAGGATCCACACCACAGCCCTAAGATAGAGGCACATTATTCCAGTGCCACATACAGAGAATCAGAACAAACCCAGAGAGGATCCATGCAAGACCCATGGTCAGTTAGGAGCTAAGCCAAGGCCAGAAACTTCATTGCTTCTTTCTCAGCCGACTGCCCCCACCCAGTGTCTGTCTTCCCAGGGTGACAGAAGTGTCAGAGGAAGGTGAAAAAATCAGTTAGCCCTCTAGTTATCAGGACTACACAGCTAATGTCCAGAAGGATGGCTGAGACCCTCACATCCATTAAAGTGCCATAGCTAGTCTGCAGAATCATAGCCTGACACATGCACTACTGGCCTTTACAATGTATACTCTCAGGGAATGAGCTGAGAGCAACCTGTGCTGTGGTGGGGGAAGCACAGAATTCATTTGGCCTCCTTCCTATTCATTCATATGCCCATCCCAAACCTCTGGTTGTTCCTTATTCCACAACAGCTACAGAATCAAATGCATACTCTGACCTGACACTGAAGGCCCACTATGACCTGGCTCCAACTGACACCTTACACACACACATGCACACACATACCTTCCTGTAAACTAATCTCATGTACTCCGAGATTTCCTGAGATAGCTTGCATATTTGCACCAATATCCAAACCCTAGATTCCCTATTCTCAGTCTACTACCCTAATCCAAACTGAGTGTTTCAAAAAAATAGAAGAATTAGATGAAAATAAAAATTGGAGCATCATGTCCTTGATGGCTCTTCCTCTACAGTGATTGCTTTTATAGCACATAATGACAACTTACATCTCTAGTTGGCATCTTCTCTTACACCCTTCTCTTACACCTGCCTTATATTCTGACACACTCATCCTAAACACTCTGCATTTTCATCATGATCTTAGAGATTCTGGGAGCTCTCCTGAGCCCAGAACCTCCCATTTCATGTTCAACATCACATAGGGTTTGTGATAGCTCAAATTCTGGCTCCTTAGTGAAGCTAAACTCCAAACTTCTATGTAAGTGGTGCTGTAAAATTCTTCGACTTTGAATTAGGTGGGCTTTTTAAACCCTTCAGGATTTAAATCTCTCATGTAAGCCCTGTGCCTTGCCTCTTGCCTATCCAAGCCCAGCATGGGCTGGAACCTACTAGATGCTCAGTGACTCTTGCTGCTGTCTGGCAATAACTTGGTAAAGCAGACCAAAATACTAACATGTCCACATGTTCTATTTTGCAAGGTAGATCACCTGCATAGCAGGTCTGTGTATGTTGGAGCTGAAGGAGAAGAGCAGCCTTTCCTATTCACCTTGGCAGCACTGACACTTAACGGGCAAGGGTTCTCTGGAAAAAGGTAAGGATGTGGCCTGGGATTAGCAGAATATCTGTATTCAGAGTAGTAGCTTTGTGGATAGAACTCCTACCCAGGGCTCCTGCAGGAACCACTCACACTTGCCTACTGGCCAGAATGTATTTACCAAGTTCTTAATTCTCTTGTCCTGGGAATTGGCTACAATTTAAGACCCTCTATTTAGCTACAACCACTCCTCATGAAATATATATTCTTGTTGCAAGATTTATTATCCTATCAGTTTTTCTTTTGCTTATTTTATTTATTCCATCCAAGGAACAACTTTCTCCACTTCTCAAGATGTGGAAATTTGTTTCTGAAAGCTGAGGGAAGGATACTAACACATAATTTCTTATTCCTGAGAGATAAAGGAGCATGGGCAAGGGAAAAAAGACATCTGGAGCTGAGGAGCCAAATCCAAACAAAACATACCCCCCCAAATTAAAGATGCTTCTGCTCTTCTCTCATCTGGTCAGACCAGAGTTGGTCCCTGTGCTGTCAGAGGAAGATAATTTAATAGACTGTGTCCAAAGGACAGGGACTAGAAGAATGAGTGGACCCAAAGCTGTGACGAACAAAGGAGGGAAAAGAAACTAGACTGTAGAGTCTTAAAAAAGATTATGACCTTGGACTGGGACCATAGTACTGGTCCTTTAATCTTGACCCCGTGTAAGAGTGACTGGACTTTCCATAAGTTCAACAGTTCTAGGGAAAAGTAACTAGGTCTAATGGGTAGGAGTTCCAGGGATTCCAATTTCAGATGAACAGGGAATTTTCTGAGGAACAGAGTTGTCCAGAGAAGGCAGAAACTCCCTTGTGAGAAAGTAAAGTCCTAATCATGGGTAAGATTCTGTCAGAGTCTCGATAGCCACCAGTGAAATTTAACTCACTTACTGGGGACAAGGCTGTGCTCTCTGAAATCTTTCTGAAGCAGATTCTCTGCTTCAAGGCCCAAGGTGACCAAACTCACAAGCTCCCACCTTGTTCTGAGCCCTTAGGTATTGTTACATAAATCTGCTTCAGATAGAAAGAACTACTCAGAGGCTGATGGGAAGAGTTTAGGACAAGCCTAAAGGAGAACTATGATACTGGTGAAAGCATAATTAAAGAATTAACCTCTAGCAGAAGAGAAAGAAGCCCTCCTTTTTCCCCAAGAACACTCCTCTCTCCCAAGGAGGGCTGGTGCTTACCTATTGTCATTGTTTTTGTGATGATACTGGCTCTGGGGCTTCAGAGTCACTAGGGCACCATTTTGAAACAATGCATAACCATCTACTAAATGGAACCACTAATAACTTGAAAGCCCCTGGGCCTTGTCTCTTCTGCTGCTTTTGGTGAAGTGTCTCCACCTGTCTGGGAAAACTGAGATACAGAAAGGCAAGAATCAGGCCCATGGTTAGCTGGCAGAAGAACAAGGATCCCAAATCAAAGGCAGTACAACTGCTTACCCAGAGACCCTGAGAAAAAGAAAAGCATTTGTAAAATATCCCTCTGCCCCTGCCTAGGCAAGCAAAGCCCTAGCCAGATAAGCATGAGCTATTCCTCACCCAGTGACCAACTCAATAAGTGCAGCAAAAGCAGATTTTCTGCCTAGCTACACAGAAGCAAAGCAAGACTCTCTCTATGGCAAATGGCTGGTTGGGTGACTGACTCCATCTGCGTTCTGGAAGTGATGAGGCCAGTGCCTGCACTGCCCTGACTTGGTCAGTATGTATGAAGAAGGTTTCCAGGGATGCTCTGGGAGCAATCCTGGGAGGTTCCTTAGCTTCTCATTGAGATCACCTAGGAACACAAGCAAAGACACTCATATCTGATTAGAAGCTGACATTGAAAAGATCCAGGACCCTCCCCTTTTGTCCTTGTTAGGGACAAAGTCAGAAAACCAATGATCATCATGTGCATGTTGAATGCACCATGAAGGCTTTGACAGGAATCTGTGCTTGTTAGAGCTGCTTCTTTAAAATAAATGTTGATGCAGTAGCAATTATAACTGCTGAAACCTCCCCCATACTATCCCAGCCCTCATCTAGCTGATATTAGAACTCTAACCTCCACTTCCCATCAGGACCAACTTTGTTTCCCACTCAATCAGCTTGAATTGGTTCTAGGTATGGAGAACTCGCATGAGCTCCATTCCCCAAAGTCATTCAAACAAGCTGGTTGTAACAAAGACCTAGAAACTGAGAGGTCTGAACAACCAAAGCTAATTGCAATTCCTGACAGCAGTAAAACTTTAACTATTTACCTACCTTCTCAGGGACTTGGCAAAGCATTTACTTCTTTGCAGATGAGACTGAGATGTAGTTACAAAGTCTCAGTTTCCTCTGCAAATAGTTGTAAGTGCTTAGCATTTATAAGACAGGAGTCATATTCTACAATATTTTCATGGGATGATGACATACATTTATATGTACGAATGGCCACCTCTGGTCATCCATACCACCCTCCTGGGCCTCCGCCTAGCCATGGTTTCAAAGACACACATACCGGCAGGGGTTGAGATAGTTTCAGTAGTGTTAGTCACTCCTGTAAAATCAAACTGAAAGAGCTTCCAAGAATTCTTCTCATTGATTTTAAGCTTGAAATCTTCCCATTTGTAGATCAACTCACTCTCAGGATAGAAAACTGTAAAGCAACATGGAAAGGAAGGTCTTGTGAGACTGGAAAGGCCAGCTGTCTCCATCAGCATGGATTCTGAGCAATGCCTTGGAGTCCTGACTCTGGCCTCACCACCTGTGGGACCTTGCCTCTCTTACCTCATTGTTGAAGTCCGTTCAATATGTGCATTTACTGAGCATTTTTCAGTACCAGGCTCTGTGCTGGAAATATAAAGATGAGCAAGGCGGAAGCCTTGCCCTCAAACATTCACATTTTATTGAGTAAGATAGTAAGTATACATCTGTAATTGTTGGAATTGCTGAGAAACCTCCACCCATGGGGCAATGGAAAAACAGAGGGAAAGACCACTTGGGGACACACCCAACAAAAATGTCATAGAGTAGGTGCCATTTTCAATAAATCTTAAAAGCTCAGTAAAATATTCTCTGTATAAGTGAGGCTGAAAGGGGGGGGAGGGTGTTCTATGCATAGAAAGGTGAAAATGCCTGATGGATTATGGAAATGCCAAAGGTTCGGGATGGCTAGCTCACAGAGGCTGGATGAAGCATACAGGAATGGGTACTAGGGGCCAGTTAATGAAGTACCCTGGGAGTCATTCCAAGGAATTTGGTATTGATCTATGAGAGTTCAGGGAGTATTTGAAACTAAAACATGACCTGGTCTAGATGATGTTTCAGCTACGTCACCCTTGTCATTATATGAAGATGGCTTGTTGACAGGGAGACAAGTTTTGGGAGGCCAATGCAGGAATCTGGCCACAACAAAATGAATGAAGGCAGGAATCAAAGCTGTGGCAGTGAGAATGCAGAGAAATAGGATCAATAGAGACTCAGGATGGAAAACCAATAAGATGTTTTGATTGATTAGATGTAGCAGGTGATGGAGAAAAACATCAAAGTTCTTGGCTTGGACAACTGAGTGGCTGATAGTGCGTATCAATAAGACAAATGTGAGCACAGAAGCAACACATTTGTTTTGGGGGTAGAGGTTGGAAGAAGACAATGTATTTAGTTCTGGACATGTTCAGTTTTAAAGTGAAGATGTTGTGAAAGATGACAAAGACCTAAGTCAAGGTACTGACAGTGGAGATGGAGAGGAGCAGACACACTTGAATTACACTTCAGAGATGGGTGACTGACTTGAGATGGAGTGGGAGGAAGAGGGAAGAACCCAACAAGAGTTCCAGGTGAAGCAACACAGTATTGTCAGCAGGACAGGAGATGAGGAGGCTCTGGGCAAATCTGACACCATCTTAGGAGAAAAACAGAGGCAGAAAAATATAAAGGGCAAGGATGAGAAAAAAGAAGGGGCTCAGCATGACTCTGGGGCCCCAGAGACCTAAGAAGGTACTCACAGCTAGAGAAAGACAGAGGGCAAGAGTGAGAATCCATTGGAAATTTGAGCATGTGGAGTAAACATCCAGCATCAATGGTCATCCTGGAAGGGAGAAAGGAGCCTCATTAGGCTGGCCCTGAGCACTCAGGTATCCACCCACCTTGGCCTGGGGACCACCACCAATGAGTGGCAACAGTAGGATTTGAAACAAAGAACTCATAAGAGAAACAAAAAGAGAGGAAGAACAGCTTGAAAGTATCTGGTTCCTTTGGTTTCTAACATCAGAGAAATGTGTGGACCAGTTTAGATAGTCTTTTGTTTCTTGCCCATCCCAGCTTCCAGGACTTGCCTACCTACTCTCTACCACCTTCCCACCTCATACCACCAATACACAACCTTCCCCTGCCAGACATTCAAATGTCCAGCCTGCTCTTAGGTATTTTCCACAGTCTGTGTTGCTGCTCCACTTGGGCAATTCCACCACCGTGGACGTGTCTTTACATCCAGTGCCCACTTGGGATGGAATTGTCCAGACAATGCAGTCATACTCTAGTTGGGGGTGGGGGGCTGTGGACTGGGAGCCAAGTAACTGGCTGACAGCCCCAGCTCTGCCATGAACTTGGTGTGTAACCTTAGGTAATCTTTCAGTTTTGAGGCCTAGTGTCTATGTCTACACATGAGGGGGCTGAGGTCAAGCTCTAGCAAAGCTGGAAAGGCCCTTAGAAGTATCCTTCAGGATGAAATCCATATCCATGGTTACTTGGTGAAAAGAGTCCCAAGAGGTAATATTCCAGAGGCTTGACATACCTAATTGTGTACAACACCTTGCCATCCTTGTGGATGCGAGCCATCTTGTTGGACATGGTGATCACATGCTCTTGAGTCCTCTTAGAATTCCTAAAAAACGTGTCTGGGATCCATAGCTGGCTCACCATGTCACCATTCAGAACAAAACTCTCAAAGCTGCCATTGTAACGGAGGCGCTCATCGTACCAAGTCTGGCAGAAGGTAATGTCAATGGTGTATTCCTGGTGGGATTGACAGAAAAGCACACACCTAGAACTCTACAGGCAAAGAGTATTCTCATGCCATCCTGTGAAGGGCCTATCAAGCAGATAGAAACCGAGTTAGGTTTTCCCAGAGGAAAACAGCATGAATTAAGTTGTAGGAGTTTTCTATTTCCGGGATTCCCAAAAGAAAGGAACATTCCCAGATAAATAACAATCAGGGAAGACACATTTTGTCCAGAAACACGTGAATTAATTGCACAGGTTGGGCTCATCACATCACCACTACCTTGTAGGGTTATGGGATTACTCCAGCCAGGTTAACACCCTCCCAGCCCCACGTTTCCATAGCAAACCAAAGATTTCAACTCAAAATCATTTTAAACATTTACAAATACACTCACACCTTTGGTTGTATATGGTGACGTTTTCCCTTTCAGTTTGATGATTATTTGTGGAGCACGAATGTTAATTAACATCAATTCTTTGTTTTCCAGAGTTATATTTTATTGTATTTTTAAAAATATTTTATTTATTTATTTGACAGACAGAGATCACAAGTAGGCAGAGAGACAGGCAGAGAGAGAGGAGGAAGCAGGCTCCCTGCTGAGCAGAGAGCCCGATGCGGGGCTGAATCCCACGTCCCCGGGATCATGACCTGAGCTGAAGGCAGAGGCTTTAACCCACTGAGCCACCCAGGCGCCCCCAGAGTTATATTTTAAAATGAAGTTTTGAGTCATAAGAGAAGAGTGTATTTAGTCTCATTTTTAAAAATAATTGTTTTGTTTTTTCTTTTTAAACAAGGGCACCTGACCTCTGAATGTGTGTGTGCATATATATAGCTATACCTATGATTATTTGGTAGCCAGATGATATAATCTATCCCATAAACTGTCTGTTAAACATTGAGAAGGATGTTTAATAGGAAGAATCATGAGAAGCTAGAGATTTGCACTACTGATATTAAAGGGTAAAAAACAGACTGCAATAGAATTGCAAGTGGTGTGAAGAGCAAGTGCCAGAACTAGACCAAGGGGGAATCCTGAGGGCTAACTCAACCCCCTTTACTTTAGAGGTAGAGAAAGTGAGGCTCAGAGAGAAAAGAGACTGTCCAAAGTCACAAATAGCTAATGGCAGCATATTGGCTCTGATGCTCAGAGCACATGACCTTGCCCTGGGATGACCTTCACTGATTTCCCTCTCTTACGCTTATTTTACTTGCACAAACAATCCCTTTGGGTACCAAGTTCTAATTTTCTCCTGTAAAATCCCTAGTTCTTTCTCCTGAGTTATCCTGCATCAGTAAACACCAACCAGAAACCCACAGTTTGGAGGCCAGAGCCCTCAGGGGAAAGCTTGGTGTTTCTGCCTCGGGCAAGAGGTGTTGCGAGCCATTGCCAAATTGCTGGGAGCTAGCCTTTCAGACTGAGAAGGTTCCCTGGAGTAGGCCAGAGAAGCGAACAGAAAAAAGCCTGGCTACCATTCATATGGGAGCCCCCAGCCCTGCTCCACCCGTCCTCACCAGCCTTCATAGGTGGCTTTCAGAGTGCTTCTATAGTCCCAGGTAGCTGGCAGTTCCAACTTGGCCTATGGAGCCTCCTTCACTCCTAGGCCCTAGGAATTGTAGCTAGGGGAAGTCTTTCCTCCACAATCCATGCATGCTGTGCTCTTGCTCTGTGTTACAGTGTTTCAAATGAGCATTTATTTTTTATTAAACAAGATACCAATTTCAAGTTCATTACACAGCAACTGATAACAGTTTATTTTTTCCCCCAGTGTGACAAGGGAGCTTGGGTTGTACATCTTTTTTAGCTCAGCTGAAATCCTAGAAATTCAGTGTCAAGGAATTGGCTTAATTAGGATTGCTTGCAACAATGATCACAGCAGGAAGCCTTAGCAACTGTTGATGCTGTGATGGGCAGTCATTCCCAGACTGGTCACTGCCTTCTAAGCTCAGGCTAGGTGTTTCAAAAATGTAACCAGGAAACTGATAATAACATTGGATTTAAATCTCCATGCTACGGGCTCAGGTTTCTCTCCCTAAGAAATAATCCTATGCTCTACACAGCATCTGATTAGCTGAGGGGTGGAGGAACTCCCTTCAAACAATCACACCTCTTTTGTAACAAAATGCTTGTTGAGAGGCTCAGTTGCTTCAAACTTAAAATCAAGATCCCAGTGGCATCCTTGCCTGCCATCCAGGCTGTGATGAAGATCCGAGGAGACAAGCATGCTTTGCTCATTGGCTGTGAGAGAGTCAGACATTCTATATTCCTTCCTTACCAAATACAAAACTCCAGTGTCACCAGGGAAAAGTAGACTGTACAAGAAGTGAGAACTCCCAGAGTTTTAAAGAGCTATCTGAAATTATGTAAAAGACCAGTCTTCTTGGGGGAAATTTAATACCATATGAGTATTTGGCATCTTCTAAAGGTACTTGGCCTAGGCTAAAGCAGCAGTTTATTGGCCAAAGAAAATCAAGTTGTTGGCTCCTCTTTGGACCAGTTCTGTGTTGCACGCCAGGTTCAGTGACTGCTAACTTATTAGACTGTATCCCTCGGGCTTGTTAGGTATCAGGGGGACAATAGTGACTTCTATATAACAAGTTTCATAATTCATTTGCTCAGTTAACAAATACTGAGTCCTTAACACCAAGGAAACCATAATCAGGAGAACAAGGCAAATAAAGAGCACATAATTACAAATGAGGTAGGGAAGATCAGGTAAACAACTATGATATAAGCTAGAAAAATCTGAATCCCAAAGACACGACTGTGGTGTGACTACGAAGGGAGCAATTAATAGTTGTGGAGGTCAGAGAAGATGCCATTAGAGGTAGAAACTGAAGGATAAAGCTTATGGCAAGTAGAAAATTGGAGTAATGACATTCCAAATAGGAAATACCTGAAACAAAGACTCAAAGATACAAGGTGACTTGGTAACACCCACACTCCAGTGTGACTAGAGCATGTGGTCTCTAAATGGGTGGGAAAAAAATAAAACCAGAGCTCTGGGTTGCCTCCAGCCACGGAAGACCTTGAGCACTAGAGTGTGGTATTGAACTTCACACCTTAGGCCAGGTTAGAACTACAGGAGGTACATGACACAGGAGGCATATCACACAGGAAGCCAGGTCAGTAGGTAGACCGGGGTAGGGAGAGTCCTTGAATTTTGTATATTTCAAGGAGAGATAATAGAGGCTAACTGAGGACATCTTGACACTAGAATGATAGTAATGGGAAAGGAAAGAGAAATGAGAGAAGCAGTCTGACAATAAGAGTTAGTAAGTACAGACTTAAATCTATAAAAATCTCTATCAGAAAAAAGAGCTGTTCCACTGTGGTGTTTAAAGTTGCTTTATTATTTTTATTTTGAATGAAAGACTAGGAGATGTGGTCAGGATCCTGAAGGTACTCTCCAGGCAGCAAGGGGCTTACCTTTACCCACCTTCTAGAGTCATTGTTGGATATAATATTCCCCTCTTCAAAGCAAAAACAAAACCCAAACCACAAAACTCCTAGATGCAGAACAGAAAAAATAACTGTGTGAAAGGGCCCACGGGTCAGCTCTCTGGGCTATGAGACACTGTAATCAAAACTCAGTACTTACCATGTCCAGGACAGAGACAGGACCAAAGGTGTTGACAGAGAGCTCAACAGTGACCACAGTGGGCTTTTCTGCAAAGGAAGCAGATGTGGCAGAGATCAGTGTCAAATAGGAGCAGGGACGATGCGGGGGGTATTGTCAGAGGGGAAAGCAGGGTGGTGGGTGAGGACTAGAGACATGGTTTCAACATCCAGTCCTATTTCTTTCTTTGTTCTTTCATGGCAAGATCTAATTCACAGACTGCTAAGAGCTGGACATACCTTGAAGGTCAATCATCTGGTCTACTCATTTTATTTTTGGAAAAACTGAGGATGAGAAAAGAAAAAAAGTCTAAACCAAGGTCAAGAGCACTGCTAAGACTAGAGTTGATATCTCTTACCTGACAGGTCAGCAACAGCTATTCCTGTCCATGTGCATGGCGGCACCGTTACCTGTACCCCACACTCATTATTCACACCTATGCTGTCATCAACCTCCTGCTCCAGCAGGGGAAGAACCGTGTTCTGCTACTCACCACCTATGCCAGGGCGCAGTTTGTGGTCATAGTTATTCAGGATACTGTTCAGAATGTGAGTGGCTGCTTGCAGGCTCCCAAGTCTGTGATAGGAACCTACAGTAAGGGTGGGCACTGTTTCTTCAGAAAGGAGTTTGTTTTCAGGAGCCTGGGGCTGGTGCCCGTAGACATCATCAGGGGCAGAGGGTCCATTTTCTGATTCAACATGAGGTTCTTCACTCCTAGAACAAAAACAAACAAACAAACAAACAAAAAGAATAAAGCTCTGTTCTCCACTCTGAAGGGGACCCAGCTGAAGCCTCTTTGGACAGAAGCAAACCAAAATAAGTCTGCATCCCGAGGCATAAAGAGTAACCGGTAATAGCAAATTTTGGGCCAGTAACAGATTATATTTGTTAATTTCTTGTAAATCTTGCTGCTCTTTGGGGACTTTCCATACTACCCTGCCTTTATGGAAATTCTTTATTTTAAAAATATCCTAATAACAAAACCAAGTTCAAGATTTTAAAAGAATTTCTCCAGGTAAGATGAAGAGGATATTGCTGTATGAGCTTTGGCCAATCAGCAGACGTTACTAGCCCTGGCCTCCAGTCCACCTGACCAGCACCGCCCGGGAGCAAATGGGTGGGCAGAGGGCCCGGATTGCTGAGGAATGCTCCGGAAAGCCAGAACGGCCTCTCCCACAGAGGACTAGGACACCGTGGGAATATTCTGCATTTCTTTGCTTTTGTGATATTCACGGTTTGGAGTTGGGGGCCAGGGGTGAGGAGAAGCTCTGAGCACTGAGGAAAGGCAGGAGTCCCTTACTCAGAGACTGTCATCTAGGAGAGAGGACTGACTGGAATCCAGCCTGAGTGCCACAGCCTTGCACCACAGCCAAAAGATAAGAATTAAATTAAATAAAACAAAAAATTAAAAAGCCATCTAGCAATGTATGAAATTCATTGATGGTGTTAGAAGTTAGGGTCCTCGTACTTTTGTGAAGAAGTGGGCTTCAGGATCTTCTGAGGCTCCAGTCATGTTCTAGTCCCTGATGTGGGTGTACTGATACCCGTGTGGTCATTTTCTGACAACTCATCAGCTACGCACTAATCATTTGAATACTTTTCTGTATATATGTTCTAATTCAATAAAAAAGTGTTTCAAAAAATGTTAATAAAAATCTGCTAATATATAGATCTTATTTGGATCCTGATTTTTAAAAGGCAAACTAAAACACAAAACAAAAAAACATTTATAATGCAATAGGGGAGATGTGAACACTGACTGGATAGTTTCTTCACTATGACAAAATTATTCTAAAATTTTTGGTGTAATAGTAGTATTTTATTATGTAAGTGCAGTCCTTATGACTAAAAATGCATACTAAAATAATTGCATGGAAAATGATATGAGATTTGAGATTTGCTCTAGAATAATTTAAGCAGAAATGCAGAGTGGGTGGAGGACAGAGAAATGAAGTGTGGCCATGAATTTATAATTAATGAGGCTGGTGATGGGTACATGAGGTTTCACTCTATTGTTCCCCCTGCTTTTCTGTCTTTGAAAAAAATTATAATTAAAAGCTTTTTAAAAAACCATCAGCAAAATTAATCTATGATGTTGTAAAGCAGGACAGTGGTGTCCTTTGAATAGGAGAGTATACTGGGCGGGGGGGCATGTGGTGAAGCTTGGGGTGGGGGCTAGGTAGAGAGGACTAGCAACATAGGCATGGCTTCTGTGGTGCAGGCGCAGGGCCTGGCAACTTGTGCAGCAAAACGCATTTTCCTGCACTATTTCAAGCTCTTAGAATTGCCTAACTGACATACAGATGTGCCAGATTTATACCATTTTTCATGTCTGAAGTGGCTTATTCCCACTGTGGGCAAGGGAAGAACTGGGCTTGAGAAAAACAGTTTCCATTTCCAAGTAACACGTGCAGAAATATCCTCTTTCCCTGAGGCATTCCCCCCAGTCCTCTGACTGCTGGAGGGGCAGAGGGAGAACAGAGGCCTGAGACCCTGCAAAATGAGTGATGTGGCTAGGAGCATGGCACAGTCAGGACTGGCACTGCCAGCCAAGACCACCCAAATGTCTGAAGCCAACAACAATAGCCCCAAGGTTCAAGAGGCAAACAAGCAAAAGCCCAGGGACCACTGAAGCCCCCCTGCTCCCAAACTATGTCTACCATGAAAATGATATCAGAAGGTCTTGAGGTTGCTGTAATTCTACAATCATCCTTTGCCAGTAAAATACAAACAAAACAAACACACTCATCCTGGGGTCCTTGAAGTTAAGGAGCTGCTGATACTGCATACCTTTTCTCAGCCAGCCATTAAGCTCCCTTTCAAGGCTAGAAATAATAACAACTTGAAAAACACTCATGCACTGGGTTAGCGGAATCTTCCCATGGGGCCTTTTCATGCATCCACATCTCTCTATATGCAATGGTTCAAGATGGAGCTGAAATTCTGCATCCCCTCCCACTACTGAGGATGTTCTTTCAACTAACTGTGGGGGAAGAGGGGGGAGGAGGAGGGGACTGGAAATGCTCTAGGAGGGGGTCCACTGGGTTGGTTTTTTCCCCCCAAAATCAGCCCTCTTTTTCAACTTACAGATGAAGAAACAATCCCACCTGGGGGGAGGGCTGTGCCCAAAGTCACAACCATTTGAGGCTGAGCTGGGAGCAGAGCAAGGTTTCTTGGTTCGATGTGGCCCTTGCCAACACACCCCAAAGCCATCTCCAGCTCTGACATCATGGGTTGCCATGTTGACAATGTCTGAACGCCAGATACTGAGGCCCTTCCCTCCCCATTCACCCCACTGGACGGGGAAGGGTAGTTTCCTTGTCAACAGCCCCTCTTCCCAGCTTTTATTTATTATTTTGTTCCTGCTCCTCCTGCTTCCTTCTGCTTCCAGGCCCCTCTTTTGAGCTAGCCAGTAACCATGCCACCTCTCCCAAACAGTTTTATTCATATCTGGAGGGATGTAGATGACTGGAAATTCCTAGCACGCATTCAGAAATATTTGCCAAGCCCCTGCTGAGACCAACCCCCACACCCCAGGGCACCGGTGAGCCAGCAGGGAGCCCCACAGCCCCTCCCCTGAGGTGCTAAAGCATTCTGGGGTGAGGAAAGAAGCCTTCTCCCTTCTCAAAACAGATAAGCAAGACAGGAACTCAGGGCCCTGGAGAGTTCTGGAATGGAAACCGTCTCAAAAATAGGAAGCAGTCATCTTCTACTCTAAAAACTCAGAAGTGTAGGGAACAACCTTTCTAGCAAAGTATCAGGGCCAGAAGAAAGTGTGAAGGAAGCTGGCTGTTCAAGGGAAATCTGTTGTTAGCCTTTGGAGAAGGGGATGGGGATTGGAATCGAGGACCCAAACCTCAGACCTCAGAGAATAACATACTTGGCCTCCGGGTCCGGTCAACCCCAGACCCAGCAGGGCGTCTGGTGCGGGCGGGGAATGAAGGAGGAAAGAGGAGGCTGGCGGCAGAGTGGAGTGGGGTGGATAACTGGGGCGGGAATCCTTGGACTAAACTGGGGCTGGTGCCTGGCACTGGCACCAAGAGACGCGGCGGGAAGGCAAACAAGTAAAGTTAGAGTTATCTGGCACAGTGCCTGGTACTAGGTGCTCAGGAAAATAAATCTGAATGAGAGGACAGACAAGCCAACACTCCAGCATTTAGGCGCAGTTTCGTTCCCCAAGCCAGAGCGCCTTCCTGGGCGCCACCTTCCCAAAGTCTCCCCCAGTCCTCAGAAGCGCGAGCCAACGCTGGTCGGTTACTTCGCGGGCCACCCGCCTCTTCCCACGGAAGACCCAGAGAGGGAGAAGCGTGCTCATGCCCCCAGCCATCGCCGTGGTTTTGGAGAGCAGGAGTCTGGGACCGAAACGGTCAGGCAACAGGCGTCCCGCCTCCCTTCCTGGGCGCCTCTTCAGGGGTCCGGAGTGCCCATCTGAGAGGGAGCGGGTTGGAGGCTGGCAGCGCGTAGCGGGGACCCGGGATCCGGCTAGCCCGCACTAGAGATGGGAAAAGGTGGGAGCGGGGCTTGAGGAACGTAGGGGAGCGGGGGTCCGGAGAGCTGGCCCAGCTCCAGGGGAGAGGGAGCCGGGCGCAGAGGGCTCCTGGGTTCCGAGATGGAGACTCACCTAGACGGGAGGACTATGGACATGCCCAGGAGGATCAGGAGAACTTTGGTTAACATCTTGGTGGGGACCGGCGCGACCACCTGTAGGGAGGTCGCTGCGCACGGTCTGGCCGCACCGAGCGCGGTGTGCAGGGTTTTACTGGGCTCCAACTTCCACTCCTCCCACTCGCCCCGCCCCGCGCCCCCCCACTCTGGCCCCGCCCCCTGAGCCCCGTTGGAAATCTCCGACGACCTGTTTACTGCTGCTGCGGACAGTAGGGTGGATAGGCTCTGGCGGACGGAAGGAAGGGGAGGGAGAAGAGGAGGGAGCCCTGTCGCCAAGGCCCCCCAGCCCCCGCCGCCACAACTGCCGCGCTGCCAGACAGCCACGGGCGGGGGACGGGAGAAGGGAGGAAGAGGCGAGCGGGCTGCGCGGGCCCCAGGAGGGGGAAATACGGAGGTCCGCGGCTGCGGCTGGGAGGGCGGCCACAGAGTGGGCCAGGCTAGGCAAGATGGGGGACTAGGTGGACTCCTGCCTCCTTATAGAACCCCTCCAGTCCACTAGGGCACCGCGGGATCGAACTGTGGCTTCCAGCCCTCTGCTCCCGCCCCTATCACCTGTTGCTTCCCCAGGTCTCCTGGCCTCTGACATTTCCCTTACCCTCACTCCAGACCTTCCAGTCCTTCAGAGCATCTCTTGGCATCAGAAGGAAGCTGGTAACTGAGTACCTTCCTTGGCACAGGGGAAGAAGAGAGACTTGGTGGGGGGGGTATCTCCCCAGCAAGCTATGATCTGAGCTACTACACAGGCCAGTTTCTCAGGTATTGGGGGGGGCAGGGGAAGACCCACCGGCAGAAGACCAGGCCTAGGCATTCACTAGAGCATTTTCCCTTAACTGCAGAGAGGCAATAACTGACTCAATGTGGGTCCAGGCTTAGCCCCAGGGGCCTGGTTCTGAGAGGGACCATCTGGGACCTCAGAAAACTTTCCAAGACTGGCTGGACTGGCTTTCTGGAAACTTGGCTCTCAGTCATGCCAGAAATAGAAGTGAGAAAGCACTGGCATTGGGGATGAGAGTGGAGGTCAGTGCCCCCATTCAGTGGGAATAGTGAAGTCTCAAGTATCCCTGGACTTTCTCTTTGTCACCCAGAACCTCATGATTCACTTGAGAAGGGAAAGGATTACAGATACCTGCTGCTCTAGAAGGGGCTGCGTGCATCTTAGCTGGCAGAAGGCTCCTTGGAGAGCCTTGCTGTACCAAGCTAACCTAATACAACCTCTCTACCATCCTATCCTTAGCCCGTCACTCTACTTTGTCATCTCCACGATACTGCCCACTAACTGATGGTCTTCTTGGGCAGTTCTTTGTGAGCTTGTGTATAGTGGGGTCCCCTGACTGAAGTAAGCTCAGTGACAAAAACCAAGCCAAACCAAACCAAAATACATGTCTGTTTGGTTTTCCATCATATCTCTGAAACCTAGATATGTTCTGGTTACAAAATAGGCACTCAACAAATATTTGGTTTTGGCCTGTGTGCAGCTGTGTATGTCCCAGTGCCACTGAGTTTACTGGGACCTAGCCTCCCTTCAGCCTCTGTGCAAGGGAGCAGAAAACACTGCAGGGCACATTCAGGCCTCTGGTGTGCATGCTTCCTAGCCCTTTGACAAGGCAAACTTCATGGGCTTGTGACCTGTACAGAAAAACCCCACTTTGTTTAACACTTTGCTGCCCTCCTCTTAAAATCCTTAATAATTTTTGAACATGTGCCCCTGTATTTTTACTTTTCCCTCAGCCCTGCAAATTATGTAGTCATTCTTGCTGTAGGGAGATATGTGCAAAGCAGGGACCAGGCAAATGCAGAGCATTCCCAAGCTCACTACAAGGAGAAAGCTGTCCACCATCTGCCTGCCCTCCTGTCCAGCACTAGAGTGCTGTGCAGAGCGGCCTTGGGCTTGAAGTATCTTATATGGATGTCCCTACTTCCACTGACACTGCAGTTCCAAGAGATGGAGGTTTGACTGATTTCCCTGTACTCCCCTGGGTTGAGTGCTGTGCTTAATGACCAGCATTAGTTGGTCACTGAATAAGTGACTGAGTCCCAGGCAGCCAAAAGAGGCAAGCAGTTATAGCTTTTTAGTCAGAGGACCCACTCGGGGCACCTTTCTCTTAAGGGTGGAGATTAATCACATTCTGCCATTTTCCTTAGCCACCTCATCCAACAGGATATCTACAAGGAGCTGTGGAAACTCATGAGCCTTCTAAAAGTCAGGGCCTGATCACTCTGTTGCAGTTCTCACAGTGCTTTCTGTGTGCTTGTGTATACCAGGCCACGGGCTTGGCAATGAAGGGATATAAAGCAAGGCCTTGGACATAGTTTTCGTTCTCCCATGCATGGCTCAAAAAAAGGAGAAGGGACTTCTCTCAGAAATTACTAGCACAAGGTAGAAAGTCATGAGTGCCTTGGAGTTCCCAGAAAGGCCAGGTCTCCCTCTGGCTGGGCAGTTCTGGAAACTGCAGGCAGGAAGAGGAGCCCATGCTTTACAGAGACTTGAGATTTGTAGCAATAGATGAGCCTTACCAGCAGAGATACGGAGATGGGCATTCCTAGCACAGAGTCAGCCGAGATACTGAAATCAGAAATGTGTGGTGCTTGATAGAAAACAAGGAAGAGTTTGCTGGGAGTATTTGCATGAAGAGACATTGTGGGAGATAAAGCTGGAGTGGCAGGCTGGACAGGCTATTTCTGTGCTTTGAATGCTGAGCCAAGAACCTGTACTTTTTCTTGTAAGCAAGGGGGAGGTTACAGAAGATTTTCAAACAGAGACGTTGCATGTCAGAACTGTTCTTCGAGGACACCCACCCGTCTGATAGGTCAGGCAAGAGTGTTTTCAGGAAGGACAGGCTGGAGCCCATTTTCTCCCAGAAAAGGAGTTGTATGGATCTGAATGTGAGCAGAGCTCCCAGGATGATTAGAGGGGAGAGAACAACATGGGGGAGGCTTAACTGACACATTCGATATCTACTTGGAGTCAGGGAGGAGGCAAAAGAAATAGGATGGCTAGAGAAGGTACAGGGTCTTCCCCCAGGTGACCAGGGTGGCAGAACAGTAGTAGGGAAAGCAGAAGGAAGGGGGGGGAGATCTTTTAGTCACAGTAATGAGAATAGTCCCTTGCATTTTGTGTTTCACTTTCTGATGTCCCAAGAACCTTAATATTTATTGTCTAGATTTGTTTGTGTGTGTGTGTGTGTGTGTGTGTGTGACTCCCCATTTCCCTATTCTGATTACTTCAAATATATCTCTCTACAACTAGCTATTCAAGCTGGATATAAACAAAAAAGTTAATATATCAGCTATATTTTCATAACTAAACCAAGCTACACATTGATTAGAAGAGCCCTGTGCAACCCCTTTATCAGTTGTGAATGATCACTTTTAATAACCAATACCAACCCACCATGTGTCATGTTATACATGTGGTTTAGGGGTAAAACCAGAGCTGCTGGTCATAACATCTCTGTGTTCCTGTCTAGCTTGGCCCAAACTGTAACACATGCACAATGTGTTTTTCCTGTTAGACCAAGGGGGAAATTCCCATCCCAAAAAGTTGTGCAATATTCTTAGCTAGTTATGTATCTGGGTTTACAGCAAGACCAAGATGCCTGGGATACTGGGGGAAGCAGGCTGGGGGAAGAATCTCCACAGGGCTAAACTGAGAGCTAAAATGGATGAAGGGGCAAGCAGGGGACAACCAGGCTTCAGAGCAGAGAGACAGTAGAGGCAGAGGCAGCACAGGGCAATGATTAGGTCCTGTGTCCTTGTGCCCCCCTATAGGTGGAACTGGGTTTGAATTTCAGATCCTCCACTAGATATTAGCTGAATTAACAAAACTTATGTGTCATTATCACCATTACTGATAAATTACTGAAAATTAGCAGTGAAGGCACACCTGGTATCCCTAAGGTCTTGAACAGTCTCTAGCAAGCGTCTGACAAGGGAGCAAGAGCCCAGCCCCAGATATGCATGGCAGAGCTAGGCTCCCATTTACAGAAGGTGATAATGGACTGGACAAAACAGGTTCTAGACCTTGGGGAATTGGATCACTGAGCCAGCACCCTAGGCTGGTGGTACTCAGGTCCAGTTTACAAGGGAGGAAAGGCATTGCTGGGGATGGAGATTGAGAGTCCCAGCACATGGGTGCTATTTAAAGCCATGGGACTAGATGCAATCACCCAAGGCAAAGAAGATGGCAAAAGCCTGAGTCTTGAGAGAGCTGTCACAGTAACCAAAAGAAGAAAGGAGAATTTCTATTGGATGGCAGGTTCAACAACATTCGAGTAAGACGAGGATTGAATTATGCTGATTGGGTTTATCAACAGGGAAGTTATTGGCAAGCTTGACACAAGCTGTTGCAGTGGAGCATTGGGGTGGAGGCCAGTTGACGGAGGGTTGAGGAGTGCAGAAAAGGGGCAGTGAGATAAGGGAGAATACCAACACAGCTTATCTGAGAAGTCTGGCTGGAAAGCAAGGAGAGCTGTCACTGTCTCCCAAACCAAAAGAGGAGATAGGGCTTAATGAAGAGGACATGTCTGATTTTTCTTTGGGTCCCTATGGCCTGGACCAAGGCCTCAGAGAATAAGAGAAAGAGGTTCAAGGAAAGAACTTCAGCATCTTCCGTGAGAAGTGAATGTGTGAGGTGAGGATGTGAAGCCAGAAAACACAGACAACTTTTTAAGAAGTTTACAGTGAAGGAGGTCAGAGTGCAACAGCTAGGGGGAAGAAAATATTTGGAAAATTCTGATTTTTGTGTCTTAAAGATCAATTACATATGTTTATAGGCTACAAGGAGGATGCCAATTGGGGGAAAGAGGGAGGGAGGAAGTCCTTAAGGAGGTAGTTGGGTACAGTCAGTCTAGTGTGCAGGACTGGTCTACTAGTGGAGGATGAATACCTCTTCCTCAGAGGAGGGAGGAAAGGAAAGGAGAAGAAAGAGACAGGCTCATTTATTTATTCAACCAACATTTGTTACCATGTACCAGGTACTGTCTCAGATGCTGAAGAAATGAGAAAAATAAAAATTCCTGCTCTTGTGGGGCACACATTCCAGGGGAGGAGGCTGACTATAATATCTATCTATCTATCTATCTATCTATCTATCTATCT